GTTACATGCACAAGCATAAACTCAACAACACAACGCATCATAGAATTGTAAAATTCCACAATGTCAACCACGACGTTTGCGTGCGACCTCTTATGATGAGCATAGCTAACGAGGGGCGCGGCGCACTTCAAATGAACCATACTGAGATTCTCGACAAGATCAGCTTTTCATCTGTTCTTTCTTGTAGGACACTCGTAGTAGACTCCACTTGAATGATGAATGACTCAAAGCTTCCTGTGAACACTGTGCTACGTTTGTATAGTAATTTCTTGAGCGCTGCGAAGTGATTTTTTTCCATGAAATGGAACATCGGAATCCCAGTCTAAGTACAAATGACATTTTTACGATCTGCAATTACTGTCGCTATAGACGGTTGCCGACAATTGCTCTCATTTGGTCGATTCCCATAATTGAATATTTGTTTCTCAAATCCTCTGGAGTCGCTGATGAAAAGCCAGGAGTACCTGACAAGTAGGAAGGGACTATAAACGGTTGAGTGAGGAAATCACGAACGTTTTAAACCTCAATGGGTCATGAACCCCATAAGTGCCATAAACGGTCATAAACGGTTGCGAACCTACTGAACATAATGGATTCGCATGCTTTTAAGTACGATTTTCCTCCCAAGTCGTAGGTAAAATAATACGAAAGTTACCAGAAGTGACTATAAACGGTTGAGTGAAGAAATCGCAAACGTTTAAAGCCGAGCTCAATATGTATCTCACTTTCCCTGTCAAAACGGTATATATGAAAAATACATTCCTCTCACTTCACGAGAGACGGCATTAATAACAACGAGTTCATTGCTAACTTCAAAACATAAAGTCAAAATGCGAACGTAGAAGTCCTACAACTAAGAGCTCAGCTGAGGAAACCGAACATACATTTCTCCAACACTGTCCACTAAGTGGACTCCACTTCAACGCAACGCACATCCTCGTTGAAAAAATCCTCACATATTCATCAACAGCATATTCTTCTCCCGTAAGCGGGCATGGTATTTTCCAACTCAATAACAACGCGACCATGCACTAAGATGATAAAACATGACCAGCTGGGCTTGCCAAAGCGATCTCAATATCATTCGACTGACCGACGTATCACTTGGAGGAGCACGCATACTATCAACTGCGATGCTTTGTAATTCTCAAAACTATACAGACCAGCCAATGGGTACGTATTTGAACTACTACTTTAATTAACACGATATACAAATGCATCCATTAACAATGGAGTTTCAAACATAACTAGTTGTTATCATGCTACTAGTTCATATCAGGTATATGGAAAGAACACTAGATCGCGTTTTATTAATAAATCATCTGTAAAATATCCAATCACAGGGCCGACCTCCTTAACAAATTATCACAACTAAATTTTTCAACGATTGATATTCTCCGGATGCCGGCTACTACACCCATATTTCGGGGTGCTCTAGTATGGATGGGGAATACGTACATGGTAAATCACACGTGTTGATAATAAAATGAACATCCCGAAAAAATTTTAAGAATTTCTCATTGGTTTCTGCTACCAGGATTCGTATATAAACTTCTATAAGTAGGGTGTGAACTGCTTAGCTCGACTGCGGGAAGCGAACATATATATTCCTTCAACGCTGACTGAGAATAATTCCAAAATAACTCTCGAAAAATTGTTATCATTTTCATTCCGTTCGATGTGCTCAGAGTAACACCTACACAGAAATTCCCAGAACATTTCCGACCGAAAAATTGTTAATTCTCCTTTTCCACTTACCATAATTCTCTCTGCATAAGGACACACCAGGCGACTCCTCAGTCTAATAGGATGCTCCATACCGCTCCACGAATGACACAGAGGAGCACAACACGGACAAGTCGAACACGCATTACTCAAACACGCCTATCTGCTAATGCAAAGACCCCAACCTGAGAAAGAAAATTCCCTCAGGATGTAATATACTAAAGATATGTAAATAATAAGAAACTCATTTCCACTTGAATCTTCTGTGTGTGGTATTTTTCATCCTACTCTTCGCTCGCCCCAATTGGACCGTCACGGAACATGTTCCCAACAAGGCCCAAGTATACCTCGGGGTTGCCGAACATGCTAACGCACAAAGGGGGAAAATACTGCTGAACGACAATTGAGTTTCATCCGTGATATGAAAATACTAGTGAAAACACATTTCATTGTGTTATCGGTCGGGAAGGCATACACGTCTTAAGTTACATGACTAAGTATCACTTCACAGTAATTGGATGACACTCCGATTGATCAAAATATGTTGATTATCCCTACAGGACTTTCCTCATTATTATAAAATCGAGAAACTCCATCAATACAACGTGTTTCAATATGTAATTCTGAACGAATTACTAATAGAAACTACACAATTCCAAGTTATCACGATCGCGATAGTAACTACATTTTCTGATCGATTCCCCTACAAAACCTCGGAGCCGAAAGTCCATCCCTACCCTCACAAGCCGCTCAAGCCTGGAGCCGTTTTCTGCCACGGTTTGATCATCGTTATGGTATACGAATCGTGTGTAGATATTTAATATGAGAAATACTTCCATGTAAAAACCAGGAACTCATCTAGCTTTGAGAGATAACGTTCCTCCCATTTGGCGGCCCGGTTGGCGGCACATTTGATGGTCAACACAGACGTATCTATCGAGCCCACTGAATCGGATACGTGCAAGACTAAGAAACTCAACGACGAATAGGCATAAAATTCGTGAGATTGAGTTATATGCTTGACATTGGATGATAGAATTGTACTTGATAAAAAGATGAAGTATAACTCAATGAGTGGCTCCCGTGATCCTCACAACGAGGTCGCCGATGTCGAAACAGAGCTCTGTAATGAATCCCTCGACCGTACCGTCCACCTGGCGAACAATGAAACTCCTGGATGAACAATAGGATGCCAAAGCTCCTTCTGGATCGCTGTATACGGATGAGGCAACCTCGACCCCATCAATGCCCACAATATTAACACCTTTTATACCATTGAGTGGTAAATCTTGAAGTTGATTCCCTGTTTCGGCACCAACTCGGAAGGGGAATCCATCTCTCATGAGATCTCTTACGAGTATCTGATACGTCGTCCCAATGCCGATTCTGATCAGCTTTTGACCTCGCCTATCTTCAAATATACTGGTATATCCCAGAATCTCACCAGCTCTACAACAGATTGTGAGCTCGTGATTAGTGTGCGGATTGAACACTTCCAACAAGTCGTCATCATTCCCAAGGAATAACACGCCTATATCGAAACGGCTACAGTAGCCGAGTAGGAGACCAAGATCTTTGATGCACTTCGGCAACACCATACCAATGATATTTGGTGAACATTGTCGATTCTGTTGACATATCTTATCCCAACTTTTCTCCCATGGCCCTGAGAATATCTTGTAAACCGGATCGGAGGGTTGTAATACCACCAGGCCAGTTGGAGAAAGAGCTCGCAGTGCTCGCACATGATCTTGGGCGATGTCACCACTGATGTGAAGGCTAACAGAAGAGTTGTCGTTAGCTGAATAGCCGTGATCTTCAGTAACTGGCATCTCGCGTCATACTGGCTAACAAATGGAATGGGTTCCAGATGCAATCGATTACATGGGCGCGCGCTATTTGTAACACTAACGTACGCAAGAACTTCGGGTTTGCTTCCCGCGTGTCCAATTCTTTCTTCCGCCTTGCCCCAACTTTTTTCCTCTTTCGCCCAAATTTTTCTTCTGCGCGCCCAAAATTAGCCAGCTTGGTAATACTGATAAGTTATCAGCAACTTAACTGATAAGTTATCAGCAACTTAACTGATAAGTTATCAGTAACTTAACTGATAAGTTATCAGTAACTTAACTGATAAGTTATCAGTTAAGTTGATTAACTGATAGCTTATGTGAACCAACCTGGTAATACCAGGCTGGTATTATTTTTCGAAACGTCATGAGCCCGATCATATCTGTCGGGTAAACTGGTTATAGGCTGATTTTCGATAGTTCAATTCGTGTTCGCATTTGTTCGAACGTACTTTCGACTTCTTCCCGAGTTTGAGAGGGGAAATTGTTTGTGTTCAACGCAAGGTGGAGCCTGCCTACGAATAATGTTCTGCTTTTGAAGTAATATCAATCTACCTTCCATCATATGGGTGCTTCCGTATCCCTGCTTCCTAATCGGTTCTATAGTCTGTTATTTGGTCAATCTGGGATATCACATGACGACCCTGACCCGGTGGACTCTTCGCTGGACATGCCAGAAGGATTTGAGGCTTTCCGGAATGAACTGCCAAAGAGCGTGGTAATTGGTCGTGGTGAGGTTGGTTACCAGATTATATCTCGGCGCGTCAAAGGGAAGGAGCCAATCATAGGGGTCCTCTGCGGGTCGCCAGTTGATGCAAGAGAGGCCATACGATACTGCACTAGCCGCGGTCTGGGAGTAATCCTTACAGGAGAGAGGTCGCCGACCTCAGGTCCCGAATGGGAAATGCCGCGAGAGTCGAAAGCAGATGAGGACATGGCCTTGATAGATATCAGCGACGCATACAAGTACACGGGGTACTACTCTGAGCCGAAAATCCTCCGAGTTGGTTGTGGTTGCAGCGGCTCTGAAGTTGAAGAGGCTTGCGTGGAGAGCAACATCGAATTCAAGGAAGTGACTCCAGATTCACATCCCTGGACTACACTGTTCTCATCTCTACCAGATGTTTCTGAGGCTTCTACTGAGCATGTAGCGGAATATTCTTATCTTACTATCGATTATCAGGGCGTACGCATTATTAACGGTGACGTATCAGTCTCCCCATTGATTTCTTCTTATCATCCCATCCTTCTATGCCGCCCAGTAATAACCCAGATGGAGGTGTTGCGTCAGATCAGTCTAGTGAGATCGATGAGCCGAGGGAAGTGCCTGAAACCCTACAAAACCTGGCGATCTCGGTGGCACACGAACTTTGCAGGGTCGCTCAAGAGACGAGCTTGCGTTCATCGAGGCTCAGGGATCTGATAACCATGATCCAGAATGGGTTGCCCGAAGATTTCGAGACGGATGATTGGGGATGGGTCGGCAGGGTTCTCATTGGTCGAGTGTCCGCGGAGTTGGAAATAGAGCCGATTGGGGTAGATGCGGTTGCGATACAGGCCGGGGATCTCGTGCTGGCGCTCGAGCAATATGTAGAGGCATGCCTGAGATTGAAAGACCTTTCGGAGGAGGAGGCGACCGAAGGAGCCAGACGCGACCTTAGAGCAGTGAAGAGGACGCTTCAGGATAGGTTGGAGACAGAGAGTCTGTCACCCTACGCGATCAGTCTTCCGGAGAGCTTCGTAGATAGATATGGAGCGGCGCGGGTCGAGCACTGCAGATTGCGGGAGGCGGCAGAGGCTGCAGAGAGGGAGAGCAAAGCCAAGGTGCCGCAAGGAAGGGAAAAATCCGAGAATCTGCGAGGCGAGTGTGGAGAGTCGGGGACCGTCGGTGGTGCGATCAGGCTGCAAGCGGCTCTCGGAGAGGGGGGTGATACAGAGAGGATCGAATCGGCAAGACGTGAGCGACCGCTAACGGAGGAAGCGATTGAGAAGATTAGAAAAGCTGCGGAGGCGACGAAGCCGCCACCTGGAGGCATCTTCAAAATCTGTGACGGAGCGTCGCAAACCTTGACCGAATTCAGGGTCTATTTTGAGACGATGGCGGATCAGAGAGCATGGACGGATGTCCACGCTTTTTTCTGGCTAGCCAAGTTCATTGACACCTCTCTGTGGTTGAACATCTCAAAAGTTCAGGGTAGAAGGTTGCTGACGGATCCTCTCAGTCGGGCGTCGTATTCTGGGGCAGTGCAAGCGGTATGGGCTTCGCTCGGCCGTTTAACCGGGGTTGATAAGGAGCGGGAAGCTCTTCTCCTGGAAGCCCAGCAGTTAATTCAGCGGAAGGAGGAAGGAACAATGGCTTACCTCTATCGGGTCAATGATCACAAGTTGAAGTGTGAGTTGGTGGGAGTCCACCGGGAAGCAGCTCATTGGTTCTCCGTCGCCAGGGTGGGGATGAGAGATGACCTCTCAAAAAAGTTGAGCTATCTTGTGCGAGTGGGGAAAGAAGATCAGTCATGGGAAGGATGGCTCGTAGCGATGGAGCGTATGGCGCCGTCAATTTCCAGATCGGGGATCCGTTTAGCGGAATGTGCTGAGGTGGTAGAATCAAGTCCAACTCCTCCGGGTAAAGGGTCGATCGAAAAACGGGATACGACTGTCGCGGAGCAGAAGCCCAAGAAACATTGGACGGGTGGCTTCAGGGGTCGGTGCTACGTTTGCGATCAAGTCGGGCATATGAAGCGCGATTGCCCCAATCGGCAGCGTGGAAAACTCGATAAGCCCAGAGAGGCCATGGCAGCGGAAGGGTCGACCGATAAAAATAATGGAGGGGGACCGCCAGCGGAGTCGGAAGATTGCTCGAAAGGAGGTTCGGGATCGGGGCAGACAGTGAAGATTACGACTGCAGCTTTCGCAGCAGACTGCCTGGCGGCAGCTTCCAGCATCAAGTCTTACGCATTGGGGAACGGCGATGACATTCCCCAAGTTTCTCTCCAGTGTGGTACTTACCGCTGCAGTGCCCTTCTGGATAGTGGATCATCCTGTTCGCTGGCTTCTGCTGCTGTCGTCGACAAGTTGATGAAGGAAGATCTTGCGGTTGCCATCGGGAACCCGCCAATTCTTATTCGCTATGCTAATGGAGAAGAAGAGAAGGCCTGCGGGGAGGTTATCATTCGAGCATCATTAAATGATAGCGAGTGCTTCATACCCTGTCTCGTCGTATCACAGCTGGGAAGAGAGGGCGGAATGATTCTAGGGCGGCGAGCACTCAGGCTGTTAGGAATCTCGATGCAGTTCCCGCAAGACCCTCCGGAGGAGAGAGCTAGGTTGCGCACGGCGTTCGCCGAGCATCAAGCCAAGTCGGTGAGGGAGTCAACTATTCTTCCCTTAAAGGAGGAGGAGGAGAAATGCCTCTGTGCTACGGTGGAATGCTACAAGACGAATGGTGAACTGTTCGTCCCGGATTCGGCCGAGGACACCCTGGGGTGTATTGGCCAGGAGACGTTGCGGCTTCCGGGTGGTATTCGGGACCCTTTGGATATTCAAATCGATGCTGTTCTCGAGGCCACGCAGAAGAAGATTAAAGGCGAGAGGGACAGACAACAACTTTCAGAGCAGGAAGTTATTGATGTTCTTCTCTCTTCGATAGTCTCGGAGGAACCTATTCCTCTGGCTGAGGGATACACTCTTGGACTCTCTCGGGATAGTGTGGACGGCAAGTTCACCGAGGGACAGAGCTACCAATTTGTGGCCCACTGGACACTGCTCGATCGAGGAGAAGGTGCTAGGCCCTGGTCGAGCGAGAAGATGATTGAGCGCCTATCGGATGTGGAAAAGGAAGAGTTCCACGGTCATTGCCAGGAATATGAGACTCACGGTTGGTGGTCTCGGGAACCCTCGGAAGACGCCCGGGAGGAGGGGGAAGAGGGATGGCAGTGTCCTTATGGTACGATTTTCCCAGTGAGCAGGCGGCGGAGGAGCGTTAGAGACGGACGGGGGCTGAGCGAGCAGTCTGTAAGACAACTAAAACTCGTCCCGTAGCGGACCTTCGTCTTATCAATGCGGCCAGTCCCTGTGTGAGCAATCAGCAGCACACGACGGCGGAGGCGGCTCGGTCCCTGCGAAGCTCTCTTAAGAAAACGGATGTAGTTCGGCAGTATGACTTATCCCGTGCGTTCTACTGCATCGGGGTAGAGCCTAGAACGAAAGAGGGGCGTGTGATACCTTTACGTCTGATTGTGGGTCGTCGACGCTTTCGATGCCGGAGATTGGCTTTCGGTTTGGCTTGTGGCCCGGTCGTCCTCCGTGGATCTCAGAGAGTTGTGCTCAAAGTTGTCGAGGCGGCCCGGAATTTGCTGGGGTATTCGAAGGAAGTGTCCATCACCGTAGTGATGGATGATTTCTTAGTCTGGGGAAAAGCGGAGGCCGTGCAGGCGATCGAATCACTGATGTTGAAAACTTGGCAAACGGTCGGATTCATCTGTCCAGAAGCCAAGCGTACACAGTGGGGTGCTGATGAGCCCACCAGATGGTTGGGAAGTGGCTGGGTCTGGGATGCGGAGCGCGGAATCCTGAGCTTAGTAAGGCCAAATGCGAGCGAAGACAAACTGCTCAGCAAGGCGGAAGAGCTCACCAAGCGTCGAGTGTTCCAGATGGCAGGAAGATACGTCGAGATCTCCAACGGCGTCAATGAGGGGATGGCACGAGCCCATGCGGACTGTGCACGAGTTCTGGCGAGCGGGTCACCCACGTGGGACTCCGTGGACTCCGACAGAGTCTGGGTCGGTCCAGCACTGGTTCATCTCGGTTTAGCCCAAAAGTATTGGAAGAGATCGGCTGAAGTGGAAGACGGTGACTTGCGACTCTTCACCGATTTATCGTGCATCGTGGCAGATGTGGACGCATCGGCCGGTGGTTATGGTTTCGTCTGGCGAGACCGAGAAGGTAAGATCGTGCGGGCGGAGGCCAGGGTCCAGAGTCGCTCCATGGCTGTGGGATCGTGGCACTGCAATAGACGAGAACTCTTCGTTATTGCGGCCTGCCTGCGACGGCTTGACGAAGAAGTCCATCTTTTTCCGCACTTGCGGGAGGTAGAGATTCGCGGCGATAGTCGTGTGGCTGTTCACCAGGCCAATCCATGGAATGTACCGGCGTGTAAGAGTGTGGAGAGGCGTGCCATTCTTCGTCTCCGTGGCGTTGTGGCGGAAGTGACTCATGCTCTGAACTGTTTGACCCCCTCTGTGTCGGTGAAGTTCTCACATCTGCCGGGAGAACGCAACGGTGTCGCTGATGCACTATCTAGGGTCTCGTTGTCTCTCAAGTATGTACCGGTGCTAGATGGTTCGTCTGCGGTGGGTATCGTTCACTGCGACGCTGTTGAGGCGCACTCGTGGTTATCGGACCAGTCGGCTGGAATCCACTCCATTCCATCATTTCGTCGTTGGAAGGCTTTGCGCGTAGCTTTTTTGGGATGGTGCGGTTCGGATGCCCCATCACCACAGGCTGAGCTGTTCACGAAGTTCCTTTTGGCGAAACAGGCTGAGGACGGCTTCTGTTCTCGAGTTCTCGACGAGTGTGATACCAGTCAGGTGTCGGCTATACCTGGGTTGCCGTACTCCTTCCAGGTTCGTGAGGGTCTGCTGTACCGTGTGAGACCCAATGTCCCTATTGATGACGGTCCTCGCTGGCAGTTGGTTGTCCCCCGGGGTCTAGTGGGGGAACTATCCTTGGCGGTCCATCAAGAATGCGGCCATGCTGGTTTGACGGCTACTTTGGCAGGACTATATGGAGTGGCCTGGGCGCCTGCTATGCGGAAACTGGCTCGCCAAGCCCTTAGAGGATGCTTGAGCTGTGCTCTTACCAGAGATTGTGGAAGCCGAGCTCAGATTTCTTATGGGGCGAGCAGGATCCCGACGGCTCCCTATGACTGTGTGGGAATCGACATGTATGGGCCACTTCGGCGCCCTGGGAATCCCAGGGCCGGGATAGGGTCGGGGCTGCCATCTGATTCCCCTCTAGGGGGCGCAGAAGCCGACGGGAAACAGGTGTTGAGTGTGATAGATCGCTTAACTGGTTTCTGCTCGTTTTATCTCCTAGAGAACGGTAGGGCTAAGGTTATCGCGGATGCGCTGGAGTTGCACTTTTGGCGTGTGGGAAGGTGGCCTAAAGAGATCTGGTGCGATAACGCTAAGAGCTTTGTTGAGGCGTCGCCTCTGGTCAGCTTCGCTATGATGGTGGGATGTTCATTGAGAACGATTCCCCCCCATACTCCACAGTGCGGGGGCTTCTGGGAGAGGAAACACAAAGAAGTGTCCGAGACCCTGAGGGCGTGTCTGTACGATAACCCGGAAGCGTCTTGGAAGTGGTTGGTGGCGATCGCAGAAGCGCGAGCTAACTTCGTGAGTGGTGCCCACGAACGAATTTTCGGGTGGAAGCCTCAGTCTCCGGCGGTGGGTGCATTGTCAGCTCAACTCTATCAGCAGTCGTCGGTGCCCAGGAGCTTTCGCGGCAATTCTGCGGCGGCCGTTGCCGAGGCCAGGACCCGCAGCCGTTACCGTGATGATTTGCTACAAGTATTTGCCGAGGAGTGGCTCCAAGCGAGGGAGGATTTGGCTACTGGGTTTATGTTTCGTATGGCGAAGAGGGGTGGGCAAGAGCCTCTCGTCGTTGGCGATCGTGTGGTCCTCTATCATCCAAAGACCATGCAGGGCATGAAGTTGGCTCCGAAGGCCTCTGGGCCTTACTTTATCTTGAAGAAGGTTGGTTCCCAATGTTATGAGGTCGGCAATTTTCCGAAGGGCTCGTCTGGTAGTTCTTCCCAACGATCGTGGATGGTTCATAGCTCGCGCATTCGGAAGTTTGAAGGTGTGGAGCTCACTAAAAAGATGGTCGCCCCCGATTCTGACACGGTCTTCGGTGCGGCTGAGGAAAACATCTGTCCTAGCTGCAAGGAAGTTCACAGTGGTACTTTGGTGTGTTGTGATGGTTGTGATCAGTGGTTCCACCTTGGTTGTACTGATTACGACGGTGAGACGTCTTGGTACTGCGCAGTTTGTGGTGCAGCACGAGAGTGACTCAGGTTGATGAGTGGACTGTACTCTCGTGAGGGGGCGATATATGTAGCGGAATATCTATCTACTATCGATATCAGGCGTACGCATATTAACGGTGACGTATCAGTCTCCCCATTGATTTCTTCTTATCATCCCATCCTTCTATGCCGCCCAGTAATAACCCAGATGGAGGTGTTGCGTCAGATCAGTCTAGTGAGATCGATGAGCCGAGGGAAGTGCCTGAAACCCTACAGAGCAGAAGGTCTTGACTAAGAGCAGCCTTGTAGCCCTTGATGTCCTGGAGTTCTGTGGGAACGAAGTAGTTGCTACGCCACTCGTCAATTCTGATTTGTTCAACGAGTTTCTGTGCACCGGTTCTGTTGTTACAAAGGCCGGATCCGGAGGAGGCGGTGTCGTTGTCGAAATGTATTTCAAGCTTGCGGAGGGACCTGTGGGAAAGCAGTCTCTTTGTGAATATACCGAGAGTGACTCACCCAACACAACAACAGCTGACCATCATCTTCCGTCTGTTCCCCACAGTAGTCCCAGCCATGACGACTCTCCCCATACTATTGATCGCGTCACTTTGTAACCAGTTGGAAACACTTTCTGTAGAATTTTCTTTACAGTCGGTTCAGGTCTTCCAGGCCTTCGTGATGCACATCATCCGCGTATCTGGAATTCAGATCCTCAATGTCCGATGTGTTTGAACAGTTGATTCTTCCGCCAAAGATTTGAGTTCAAATTCCCACACTGGTAGAAACCATTGAGATGAGCGAGGGCTGAAGATCCTTTTCATTGTCGGCGACAATTTGTCGCGCGAACCGTCTTTATGGCTGTCATCTACTACGAGATACAGGATGCCCCGAGGCTGTTAGTTCCCTTTATTGGATTGACTCTTCTCCATCGTCTTGGGATGTTCGATAAACCTATTCCGAAATTCGGAGGGCATTCCCGAATCAGTTCAGCCGCAATCGTTCCCCAAAGCTATACGGGCCGTTGAGCTCTGGACAAGAAGACGCATGAACGCCTTCCACTAGGCCTTGGGTTTGTGGCCTACGAGCAATACCAATAGAGAGATGGAAGTTCCATGTTCTTGCGAATATCGATAGCTCTTCACTAACATGGGCTCCTGCTCCATCAAGTTGAACATAGCTTGGCACTCCATATACTTGGAACCAGATCAGCAAGCTAGTGATGACGACCAGCGCTGACGTCACGTCAGTGCCATGTTAGGTACAAGTAGTGACAATACAGCCCTGGATCCTTCATCAACCATCACAAAAACATACATATTGTTGCCCGGACAAGCAGCTTGGTTTGCGCGGACAAAACTGCGCATATCTTAGGTGGCAAGCGGGATCATAGACAGAGTAATCGCCCGGGTTACGCTGGAATTATCCCATTCGACTATCCATCAGCTTCATGCTGACGGACACTATCGGTCGGACAGTCGAATGAGATGATCCCAGCGTCACTCAGTTAAATGAGGCACGGGAGGCTGTAGTACGTTTATCAGCATGATTTCCGCATAGAATTTCAACAAGTCGCAGACGAGAACACCAATATAAAGCCATAAGCTCTAGTGTCTGTGACACAGACGTATCTGAGGATTGAGCCATCTTTTGGAAGCGCTTGTTGCTGATAAGTACTTTCAATGTTGCCACGAAAGCCAATAGAAACGTCGCTAACAGTCTCCACGTTATAACAGAGGTGGAATTCTTCCTAATAGCATGAGTTGTGGAAAACATCAGGAGTTCATAAATTAGCCATTTCCTCGTCAAGCAGGTAACATCATAAATGACATGGAAGCTCGACGCTTTTGCAGCCTGAATACCTGTAACGTATGATGAATGGTCAACGCTCAAGGGGCCTTGACCTATGGGTTTGATATCGTCTTCCCGGCCGTTGCACTTTGGGCAATCCGTTGTGAAGCCAAGGTAATTTTCTGTGTCCGAGGGCTCGATGTCGTCACGGTCATGCTCATCACAGTGACTAAAACAACAGGAATCGAGATAGGCGTGTCGACTATCCTCGTTTCTCAATCGTAAGATCAACACCAGAACAGACAACGCGAGAGGTACCTGCAAAAAGTAAATAAGCCGAGAGCGAACGCCATAACCAGTTGCAGGCTGTTCAACAGCCGCTGTTGGAGTTGCAGCTTACAGTAGAGTCTGCCCGAACGGAAATATATGTTCCCAACAAGCCAATCGAGAACTCTTTAGCCAAGACGAAAATAAAAAGACGCACGCCTTTGAGAGCTGCTAGAATGGCCATGACCACGCGACTTGATTGAGGTATCTGAAAATCGAGTAGTTGATTTATACCGTTGTCAAGCTCTGGCGATAATATGCGCAACGAATGTGGGGATAACCTTCGAATGAGCGATGAAGCAATACAGGTCTTCCGTGGTGGGATCCGTGAATCTGCGCATTTCGAGACCTAGGGGTTTTCTTGTCTCTATTCCATTGTACGGGTTCTCACTTCCAGAGCGCCTTCTGAAAGCTGTCACGCAGTTCGCCAACACCCACCAGAGCCAATCCCGCATGTGCCACCAACGAGGCTGCCTCACCACTCTATTAACTGCAGTCGTCATAGACCTGAAAGACAATATATGGCGAGTCGTCGATAGTATGACTGAGCATCATACGCAGTTGATCGATCAAAAACCGTAAAGGAATGTGAACGTACAACACAGTTATATTATTATTGTTGGGAGCTCGATGGAAGCAATAACTAACACCGAATACTACAGGGAATGACTGGATACTATCAAAAGCATCGTAACTACTCCCGCCAAACACAGAAGAAAAATCCACGAGGGGATCGAAAGTCATCCGAGGCCCTCTATGGACGAGGTACGCATCATAGCGCCATTGCGAATAAGACACGGTTCGGGGTGAGGGAGAATCGCGCTCGACTCGTGTAGAGGTGGTGGAGGACGGGGCGGATGGGGGGCAACCCGGAGTAGCGGTAAAGGCATCACCGGTAGTAGTAGGTCCGTCTGGGGAGTTGTACTGAGCATCTTTCCCCTCATAAGTACCGTCATACCCGTCAACAGTGGCATCGTAAGAGGCAGGACGCTTGGTAGGAGTACGAAAAGAACCTGACAAACCGAAACCCGAACTAACTTGTATAGTGGATAATCCCGGTTGTAACTTACGTTTGAAACCGCCACTAGGGAATTGGGAAGAGGCAGCTAAGACGGTCTTGCGAAACTCTTCACTGAAGAACCGACACGAAACGCAAGAGCACCGGGTGGGACGTGGCACTCGTTGGATCGTGATGGAAAGATGGAAATCGGCAGTGAGCGTACACGCACCTCCGCCTTCGGGATACGGACTCTGAAACAAAGGAGGCAGATTATTAGTGACAGTGGTAATAAGCAGATAACCTCGAACCCGAATCACATACAAACCGAGGCTCACCCGAACGCAAGTACATTTCACAAACACGAATCCGAAAGAATATGACTAAATACTACTTGCTCCACGCCATTCATAGTAAACCGAGGTTGAGCTGGCAGTATTCTACATGAAGCCACACCACGCAAGGCATTGTCAACCATAGAAGTGTACAGCTGATCCCCAGTCGCAACCTCAGGTGGACAAACCGAACCCGTGGTGGTAGAGTACGATTGACTATCGTTAACAAAGCTAACATAGGCACGCACTTCTTCGTCTAGGATTTGTGGGAGATCATTCTCAATGAAAGAAAATACCCGTAAAAGACCCTCCTGCGAGGTAGAGAAACACGTCATAGAGTAGAGACCCAAAACCAGCGTCTGACAGTACGGGGAGGCGAAATGGCGAAGATGCGAAGCAGGGGAATTGAAAGTACGTGACATGACACCGAAATCAAACGGACACTACTCAGGCATCAACACTTACCGAACATTAAAAACACACTTCACAGACATCACGAAACTTCTAACAAAATATCACGACATCACCCAGCATATACCTAAAACAAGAAACCCGAACGAAAATCTCATCTCATTATATCCCATTGTCTTACTAAAAATGGTGGTAGTCAGTGACCAGCGACGTGGAGTGAGTCCAATAACATTGTCGAGGCTTGGAACCCGGACCATCCGAGTCATGCGGTACATAGCCAAGTACTTGTAGGTCTCATTACTCACGCTGTGTAGGCTCGAGTCCAGTGACAGAGGAAGAGGGAGAGGAAGGATTTGGCGGCGGGGTCGAAGGAGAAGGGCTACGAGGTGCCTTCTTAATAGTAGTAGTGTCAGCTGGGTCGCCGGGATCACGAAACCCTTGAACGTCTATCTTACCTGAAAAAGAAATACGAATGAGTAAGAGACTAGCAACACCGTACATACTCACCACTAGCATACAAGGCCCTGAATTTGTCGCGGCACTGCTGTCCGCTACGAGAAGGACGCTGGTAAATGCTGTTAGAAAAGCATTTCCGAGAAACGTGAGTCCAGTTGAGCCCATATTTTCGGACCCCGGCCTCCAAATGATCTATCTCAGAAGTAGTCCAGTAGGTATATTTCCTGTTGAAAAGTGTAGATGGACCAGGAATCGAGAAAGTGGGTAAGTCAGACGTTCGGAGCTTGCTGGATCCCGTCAAGGACGTGAATGATACAAAAGCGGAAGTAGCACCACGTCTGATAGTAGTAGTGGTAGCGGTAGCACTAGCCTGAGGTTATATACGTACGTATATAACCGGAAAACGGGAAGCAAACGGCAGTAGTGGTTCCCGTGTCGCGGGAACTTCCCGCGACACGGGAATGGCGAGATTTCCAAACTCATACTAGTAAAACCGAATCATGTCCCACGAAACTCACAGGTCTCTGCTTCTTAGTAGCGGGCCGCTACTAGCGGCAGGAGGGGAAGGAACGGGGGACTCTAACTGTACTCGTTTACGCTCCACAGAAACGTGCCTGAGATCAAAAAAAACAAAAACCACTAAACGGAACCAACACACATAACATTTGTGAATTACCGGGAAGAGGATGAACCATTGCCATGATCAGAAGTAAAAGACAAAGCAGACTCAATAGCATCCTCATCCTCTTCTTGCACATCAGTATTCGTCCTATCAACCTACATGAGATTATAGTCCAATGCTAACGCGACCCGACTCACCACAATCGTTACAAACCGAAAACCGAACTGAATTGCATTAAACCCGGCCGCGAAGCAAACCCACGACCACCTCAGTAACATCTTCATGTCACATGAATCATGTGGCTCAACCTCAGACTCCGATTTCACACCCATTATAAGTCAGGGCTAATATAAATGTAGGTTCTAAGTGGAAGCGAGGGCGTAAGATGAGGAACCCTGAAAGAGAGAAAATGACAACACACACTGAGAGTCAAAGTGTACACTAGCAGTAGGGCAAGCTTACCTGGAAGAGTAGCGTGATTTTCAGGCCCACTATCCCAAAAACCTAAATCGAAAAGTGTTGCAAACCGTAAAAACTGAAAAACCACAATAGCTAGAGTGTTTCAATACATCGCGTCACAAAACTGCGTGTGAGAAAACTCTACAGCATTTCCCGTGCAAGTTTGACAAGTGAGCAGACAAGAATGACAATGTTACCATCAAGAGTGACAATGAGAATCCAAGTTTGTCACAATTAAGTTCTGTTACAATCAAGTTTGACTTTGAGAATTCAAGTATGTCACAATCGGGATATGTTACCATCAAGATTGACAATGAAAATCCAAGTTTGTCAAAGTTCAATTATGTTACAATCAAGATTGACAGTGAGAATCCATGTTTGACACTTGTTTCCTCAGTTACAACCAAGTTTGACAGTGAGAATTCATGTTTGACACCGGCAGAATATATCAAAATCAAGAATGACAATAAACCATACAAGTTTGACAATACGCACACAAGTTTGACAATACACATCCAAGTTTGACATTGAAGAGGGTTTCTCTGTGATCAAAGCCTATATCAAGGAGAAGCTGAGTGAGAGGGACCCGAAAACAGATAGGCAGAGAGCTGAAGAGCAACACATGTT